GGGGGACACGGGCCCGGCGGGCGGGGGCCACTTACCGTGGTGCCACACCTCGGGGTGCCCGTGAAAGTACGACCCGATGCCGTGGCCGACGAAGAAGGGGCAGACCTGGAAGCCACCTTGCCATGCCACGGAGCTGCGGGGGCAAAGAGGACCTGTCAGAGTGCGTGCCCCGACCACAACCCCCCCTAGACCGCCCCAGCCCCTGCTACCGTGTTGCTACCGACACTGGGTCACCACTTTGAGACCGTTCCGAAAGACAGCCATTGAAGTGAGCACGGCTGAGCCATTGTTAGGTTTCAGAGTTAACACGCCTGCCAACAGAGGCGGGTAGCTCCCGTGCCAGCCCTGCTGTCTAGGTAAAACGGCGGTGTGTTGTTTCCCTGCTTGATGGAGGGTAACCTTTTCCACAAGCACATTGGGAACTCATTTTGAGATGGCACAGCTGAAGTTGCCAAGTTGGGCGGACAAGGCCCCAGCACAGTACCAAACCACGGTGTCTGCCGAGCTCTCTGTAACTGCGGAGTCTGTGCTGGGCTGCACACCCAGGGGCCTGCACTGGGTTTCCTGCAGAAGAGGCTCCTGCTGCCAACAGGGAGAGTTAAGAGCCCTACTACTTCGCTTTCATAGTACTTCAAACATTTAGTATAAAAACAAATTGAAAGTCCAGCAAATACATTTATGCTAAATAAAAATGTACTTCTAATGAACCAACTGCCACAGAGGCAAAGCCAAATCATAACAATTACAGTGCTTCAGTTCTGCCTGCAAAATCTGTCCTGACTTTCATGGCCTGCCTCAGGGAAAAGCATCTCTGAGAACTGCCTGCAGGACCATGGCTGGGCACTGATCCCCACCCATGGTAGGAAAGCAAAATCCTATTCCAGTTCCCCAAAACTGGAGGACCTGGAGATACATGGGATATCCTCTGGCTGCTGGCCCACCCCATGTTCGCAAGCTTCACTTTCAGGCTCTCCCTGTACTCAAGCAGTGGTGGAGGCAGTGGTGGACGGAGTGATTTGAGGCTGTTCAGCCAGGAGGCCTGCCCATATCCAAACCAGAAAAATGCAGAGATTCAGGAAGATCTGGAGATTGATTAGAAGTGACAAGAAAGTCACCCTTGTCCCTACATATCACCCCCATACTATTTCTAAAATCAAAGAGGAGCAAGACAGGAAGGCACTTAGCCTGAAGAGATTTTGCCTGAAACATTAAAAGCTTCACTTGCTTCTTTGAATGAAGGTAGTCACTGGAGAACTTCAGGTTTATCTGTATTTATGTCTTAGGAAATGTTCTCTCACAGTTTCACTACAGGTGGAAAGCTGAAAAAGTTAAGCAACTCAACTAAAGGTAAAGCTGTTGCAGAAATTAAAGCCTGTTAATCCCCGTGGGGTAGCTTTTATTCAGGTGCAAAGTGGCCTCAGCTTGCTGTACAAAGTAATCCCCTTTGCACACCAGGCTCCTCAGACTCTGCAGTACTGGCTCCAGAGCCCATGGGTCAGCGCCCCAGAATTTAATGCCACTCAATTGAGGGACATGCTGCTCCACCACAGTAACGGCACTGAGAGAGTAGAGTTGGTTAATGCTGCAGTGTTCAGACCTTAGAACATGCTTCAACAGGATTTGTATATTACTTTTTACCTACGCATTGCTCTGATATAAAGACTGACCACATTTCTTCAGTAACTCTGGAGAAGAATGGAAATTTCAGGTTTAGCTACCCCCAAACTCCAAAGTACTGGCAAAGAGGATTACCGATAAAGCTAGAAATTTGGGCTTCATTTGTTTGCACTCTAAGTCCAGGCTTTATAAATAGTTTATGTTTACATAAACTTTATACATAAATTATATTGAAAAAAACAATGAAGGATTATGCGACGAGAAGTGCTACTAGAGATGGAAAATACTTTCTCCCCTGCCTTTCTATCATGCCCTTGTATCTGGGTCAGAGACTTGGCCTGCTGGCTATGATGCTGCTGAAGGCCAAGAAAGAAATACAGGGAATGGCAATGAGTTAGAAAGCCAGATTCTTCAGAAACATACACAAAATTCAAGATCTCCACTGACCAAGCCCAGAGCAATGCAGATGATGTTTTCCATATGAGTGAAGTGATTCTCTGAAGAGAGATGGGAGAAGCCATCCATGCAACATATGATAAGGTTTTCTTTCATCTTCTTCTGCCAGTCTTTTTGCAAAATCATAAACAATCACACTAACTGTTCAGTTTTGCTGATGTCCTTACATGGCATCCCTGACCACTGATAGACCATGGCCATTTTTTGTATTACTACATGATTTTTCTTCCAGAAAAATCATGTTCTGTAGCAAGACAGAAATAGTTTCACTCTGCGCAGCTCTGAGCACCACAGCTACATACTTTCCAGGGAGCAGGGGAAGCTCCAGCCTCAGCATTCAGCTGCTGCCAAGGAGGGTGGCAGTAGCAGCAGGAGCTGCATGTTGGGCACCAAGTGCACAAGCACCAGGGTACACAGAAGGCAGTGTTACAACCGTATCCTGTCCTCCTGCAGTCAAAGAAATTATTCATATGCATCTCAATGGTGAATTCTACCACTTTCTTGTCAAACAGCTTGAAAACAACTCTGTTAGCATCAGTACTTCAGTGGTTACTGCCTGTGATCAGAGGGGACCCTGGAAAGGATCCTGGAGCTCACAGGGCTTTGACATCTACTCTGACAGACACCATGCCCCTCCTTCTTCCTTCTTGTTTACATACAGAGTCTTGGTATTCTCTACATAAAATGTAACATGGTCAACAGACCTGAAGTGACACACAGAAAATAAACTGTAGGTTGAAACTCAGCCACTTTCAATCTGGTTTTAGTATTTGCATGCACTTCAGAAGGTCCTATGAGGCGTTTCTCTCCACAACTACTAGCTTTAAAATTCCAGCAAGCTTTTAAATCCTTGTGGAATTACAGTAAACAGTCTTCATAACAAAAAAAACCCCAAATCTGCTAATCCTAGCTACAATTTGCAAAGGTAATCCTGTAAATGAACATGTTGGTTGTAACTTTGGAACAGTTCTGAGAAGAGCAAAATGAACTACTGGTCTTGCTTAGCCTCTCTGGTCTCCAGGATTCCCAAACTGTGGAATCTGATTCAAAAATCAAGATGCCAGGGAGTGGAGCATTTTTGCACACATTTACCATTTGTTGCTGACAACAGCTCAACATTTTGGTCTCACTGCCCAGCCCAGGACCTGTCAGTGGTGGCTTTTCTTTGTGGCTTTCCCATAAGACAATCTTACAAGATTGCCACCCCAATTTCATCAAATGCTTCCTGCAGACAGTAAGCTTAGACACTGGAGGAACCCTGATTGCAAGTGGGAAAGCAGTGAAGGGAGGAGGCAGAGGCTGCTGTGGCTGAGCTGGGCTGCCTGGCATCTGCTGTGGGAAAGGATGTGTCAGTCTGCCAGTTCCCCAGGGATGGGGCACATCCCAGCAAATAATTTCCAGAGCAAATGCTGGGGAAGCAGAGGTACACCTCACAAGACAGCATCAAGAGAAAAAAAAATTCTTCAGAATAGTAATTGTTAAAAATACCCATTGACAACATTTATTATCACACATATTGATTTTTGTTGCATATTTGGGCAGAGGTGAACTGGGCAGGATTAAAAGCATAATTATTTAGTGACCCCAGTATTTGATTTTATGTTTTGCTGCCATCTGTTCCAACCCAGTGGCAGCAGAGTCAAGAGTAGCTCCAGTGCTGCTTTTCTTTTGCTGATGGCAAAGCCAGGCCAAGTGTCTGGCATTGGGATGGATCAGCAGTGACCCAGCTGGTAAAGGAACATCACTGAGGGCCAAGATATCCTCCTGGAGCCATTGTCAGAGTCTGTCATACGGTGGTGTCATGCTTCGGAGAGTGGAGACAGGAGAAATGGGTGTCAGCTGCCATCTGAGCATCCTCTTCCCATGTTGCCAGACAACAGCTAATTCTCTGAAAGGAGGGATAAGTGTGGAGACATGCACTGCTGTCCTGACAGCAGCCTAACAGGGAAATTGCCACAAAGGAGGAACAGGCAGGACTGACTCTCTAGAAAGCTTTCCCCGATACTCAAGCTTCCCCTCAAAGGAGCTCTTGGGTGATAAATCTCTCCTGTTAAGCTGAAAGGCAGGTTAAAAAAATTTCCTTAGGGGGCCGTCCTGTGCAGATACCCTCTAGGGGCACCTAGAGGAGCATCTTTTATTTTTACCAAATTTTGTCACTTTTTCCTCAAGGTAGGTCTGGCCTAGCATTCTTAGCACTTCCCAAAGGAAAAAAGTGAAATAATCCCATTTTCAGCATTGATAGCTACTGCTTTTCTGCGCTCTGTGGTGGCACAAGGGAAGGAAGAATTTGACTGATTGGACAAGATGGCACAGGCTGCTTTGCTGCCAAGGATGAGCATCCTGGTGAATTGATCTCAGCCAGGGATGCTCCTCCCACAGTGCCAGCTTCTCTTACCAGGGATGAAACTTTATCCAAAACAGTCCTGCAGAGCAGCATGACATGAATGGCTGAAGTTGTTAAACAAATTTGTCTTACACTTCTTGGCAGTGAATATATACTTGAGAAACACTGAAACTGGTAACAGTCCCATGATAATTGCGTTCTTATATAGGGATCTGATTTTTTTTTTTAAATTAGAAGTAGTCATGTTTGTTTTAGCTATATTATTAGCAAAATGGCCACTGAATGGCATACTTGGTTTTTGGTTTTTTTTAAAGTATTGAAACCAGACTCATCCTAAGCTATATTTATTTGTGATAAAAATACCTATTTTGAATAGTGCCATAATATCTAATTTGAGAATTACAAAATTATACAGAGAAAATATTCAAGTGGTTTTTTTTTCTGAAATAGTAAACCTAGACTGAGGGAATGCACAAGTTCAGGGATTCCCTGTAATGACAATAAATGTTGAGGTATAATTAGTAATATTTTTGAAAATCAACAATTGTTTTTTGAAAGAAAGGTACATTTTAGTTTCAAACTAGAACACAAATTACTGTATTTTTCTTACAATAGTGCTGAACTTTTATTTGAGGTTCCCTGTTTCTGAAAGCAGACATGATGGATTGAAATAAAAGATAATTTATTGCAATGCTTACTTTCAAGTGCAGAGAGAAGCAGTGTAATTGTAATTTACAGTAGCTGTCAAGGAAAATCTATCACAGATGACATTAAAATGACTTATTTTGCCTGAGCCACTTATTGTTTAAATGTGCATAATCTGATAGAAACAGATTTTTTTTAAAATCTGCTTTATATTGTTCTAAATTAATATCAAAACATATACTTATGTGTTAAACATTTTAAACCATTTATTAATACTTTCATCACTATTTTTTTTGTAGGAGTTGAAATTTGGTTTATTTAACAACATCACTTTTAAGTTCTTTAGCTCTCTACACTCATAACACTTTCATGCACTTAGATTCACTGTCTAAAAAAGCAGATTTCAAACTAGATATATTTTTGTCTGAAAACATCAAAAATGGTAGAAGAAAATGGACCATAGGGACCAATTCTATTTACACTGGAACTGACCAATAGTTTTGATATGCCTTCCAGTAGAAAGAGGTAGCAAAACCCCAAATTTTTCTAAGCAAAGTAACTCATGAACCCATGCAATCTTTTATTTGCACCTTGTTGCCGATGGGAGAATGAACTGCTATCAATTAAATACTCAGTGTCAGCTACTGAGCTTCCATAACAAAGACTATGTTGGAATATTGACTGCAAACTTACTCAGAGATATAATTATTCTGAAACTTACTGTAGAAAGGAAATCTTCTCATTATTTGTGCATAAGATACATTCTGCATATGACTGGAGCATCTTTACAGAAAAACTGATGAAAGAAACCTAGACCCATTTCCATTCTGATGGACCTAAATGTTTTCAGCTTGTCAGTGCTTGTTCTAAGGCATTTATAATATCTAATTCTTGTGAAACTTGAGATTTTTATATATATATATATATATATATATATGTATTATATGCCGGTCTGCAAGCAAATGTCAAATGACAACCTGAAACACACAGCTTCACCAAGCCAAGGTGAGCTTTCAGCAGAGGGAGTGTTAAAGTAGTTCTAAACAAATCAGTACATTTAAATTGTCAACACGATAAAATCTTGAGAAATAAAGTTAATGACCTGCTATTTTATATGCGGTTTTGAACAGCTACTAGCTTCAATTAATCTGCTTTGCAAAGGGGACACTGACTATATATTTACATTTTGCAAGTAAACTGACCTCTGTAACAACACAGCAAAAATCCAATGTCACATTCAACTCTGTTCTTTTTCTTCTTCTTCTTCTTCTTTCTTTCTTTTTTTTTTTTTTTTTTTAACAGCTAGAATTAATGTCGTGAATCTGTAATGAAATGCATTATCCTGCATGGAGATTTATCAGATTTTCCAACTGAATGCCATGCTTTGCTAGCACTAGCTGGAGTTCACCTACATGTTGGTGTGGCGTGTGGCTCTTTTTTGTAAAGAGTTAAGTTGAACACAAAAAAAGGGAACAAAGGTCAGCACCCAGCCGCCACTTGAATGTGAGATTTTTCTTTTTATTCCCCTTGATGTATACTAGGCTCTGTGTTATTAGTCTTAATGATGGAAAATTGTAGTGTTGATACAAATCTTTTTTTCAAAGTAGTAGGCGGGAGCTCCATTTGTTAGTAAGTTTTTTTGTGACTAAAAGCCATGGACAGTACATTTATGTAGCAGTAAAAGGCCTAGATGCTCTTTCCATAGCAGAGCTAATTATTCCTACTGTGACCTTACTGATCTACCCTGTTCCTAGTACATCTCATCTGCACGCCTGTTCCTCTGTGTAGATGGTGTCAGAGAATATGAAAAACCCTATAATGAAACCATTTTCATGATGGAGAAAGGCTACTGGAGTTGCACTTGCTACAAAGAGGCTCAATTATATGAGTAATTGTGATAATTTTCTACATTCATAGCCTTCAATGGGGAAAAAAGAATGAGAGCCACAAAAGAAAATTACTTTAACAAGAAAGTACAGAGAGTAAAAATGGAAGAAGAGACAAAAAGGGGGAAAAAATAACCAGAAAAAAAAAGTTTAAAAAATAGATCTGGAGGGAGGAATAGCAAGACAGGGAGAACAACAGAAATGCTCAAAAAGCCTATGTGCAGCTGTGTTGCACAATTAAATTGAATTTTTTTTCTGCAGTTGATGAATGTGACTACTGCAAATGTGCCTCTGTAGTTAGCTATCATTTGTTGTTCCGTGACAGGAAAAGGATAATTACCTCTCAGAGAGAATCAAAGGCTGACATGCCCTTTAGACACAGCCATGAATGCAGAGCTCGATAGAATGCTTGAATAAGAATCCAGTGTTCTGTGCCCCCTTCTACTCAAGAATAAATTTTGTTAAAATGCAAGAGCACCACCAGTAAATTTGTTGAACCCTAGGTGTTCAAAAATATGAGGTGCATCTATCGACTCATCCCATTTGCAAAAATAAAACTACATTTTGAATTCACTTCTATTATATTCATGGACAGTAAGATAGTGAGATATGCATTAAATTTCTTTTCCCAGTAGGGGTCTGATTCAACATTTCCTATGAAAGAACAGAAAGACACTATCCTTTTTCTCCAGGCTAGTTAGCCTATAATTTAAAACTGTCAAAAACACAATTTTATACAAAGTCTTCAATAAAAGCTTCTCAGATATAACCCAAAGAGGTTTTACTAAAGTTTGATTCAGACTCTGTTACAATATTTTTAAAGCTATAAATATATCTAACTGATATTTTGCCGTTCTCTTTTTTTCTTAAAGTATTTGAAGATTTACAAAGAAAAAAAAAAAAGGCAGCATCCTTTCAAGGTGACTAAGCCTTGCAGCTTTTAAGTAATCAGAATGAATTCAATAGCTTGTTGGGACCATTAGCAGTCCGAAGAAGTATTGCTTAATGAAATGTATATGATATATGTCTATTTCTTTCTTTTGGCAAACATTTTAAAATAATCCATAGGTACCTTCAAAAAACTAAGGTGCATTTTTATTTAAAGCCATCAGCAGAAGAGTCATGACTGCATTTATGTGAAGGCTAGAAGAGATGCAAAATAGGGAAAAATCTCTGAATGTCAGCTCTTTTTTCCCTGTGACGTTAGCAGGCACTGCTCTTTGTAAGATCAGAAGCTCTCGAGTTAAATATTTTTGTAGTTTTTAAACAAAGAGCTTATTTATGTTGACTAATTCCTTTGTAACATTCAATGAAAACAATGGTTTCTAACTGTCTTACACTGTTGGACAGATGTGGTGTACTGTCACAAATAAAAAATAAACAAAAGCCCACTACAAATTACATCTGTTAATTCAAATCTACTTTATGAATATCTTTGTCTTTTTTCTACAGTTATCTTTGCTGACCCTAGTGTAATTCACTTTAAAAAAAATACCTCTTACCCAAGGAACAACATTATAGCTTGGCAGTTCACATACTGATATCAGACTGAAATGATGGTTTTGAATCATAAAACATGTCATCAGCTTTATACCAAACCACCAATAACCTTTGTCCCATTTGCCAGCCCTCCTTTTACTTGTCAATATAAGGCTTACCTGATTGTGTTTCCAATTACAGAGAAGGGAGCCCCTGGTCTGCAAGCTGCAATTGCTTCATCTCTACATTTCCTGGCAACCTCCACTAACTTTTCACCAGATTTATCCACATTGCCCACCAAAAAGGTTTCAGAAGTGTCACCATGGTAGCCATTGTAATACACCTAAACATACGCAGAAATTTAAAGACATTTTTTCATTTTGCATCCAGAAACAAATCATCATCTTAATTAAATCCATTCTTTCTACGAACAAGCGATATATTGCAACAGATAGACAGGTAAGTCATATTTGCAAGACTGGAAAAGCAAAACACTGCAGAGGAAAATTAAAAAAAAAAAAAAGCTTGAAAGATTGCAAGGTGTCTAAGGGTTGCCAATGTTGCCAATTAAAAATTCAAGAAAAGCAGAAGCTGTGCATCAGTGCCCAGCAGTGCACCAGGCAGTGACACTACTCAGCCACAGGACATGAGGATAACTGGGCTGCTTGCAAGATGGGTGGGGGCCGTGGATGGGCTGAAGCAGGCCCTGGGGGCTGTTGGGTGCTCACCCATCCTGGCCCCCACCCCTGCAGCCAGGGACCTGCTTGCACCCCAGAGGGGCAGGGACTGAGCCCCAGAGCTGGCCCCCAGAGCAGGGGAACCTGCTGGTGGCTGGCAGGAAGATGAATGTCCGCAGTCAGCAGCCCCCGCTGGAGCTCTGAGGTGAGAGCCATACCCTGCTACCAACAGCCAGAGTGAACCCCACAGAAAGCAAGGACCAAATCCAGTCAGCTGTTGCAGGTTTTCTTGCATCTCATTTTTAAGCTGTAATGTGGCATTATCATTGGATTTCACTTCTGATTTCCAGAGATTAATTTTGAGAGAATAAATGTACTGCTGTGGCACTGAAAAATTTCATATTCTGAAAATGAAACGTGCTGTTGAATTAATTACATATTGTTTTTTCTCTTTTCTTTTTGACATTTCATAGGTTTTAAACGTTAGCTTTCCTGAAATTCTCTGTTGAGCACAAGAGATCCTGGCTATGCACTATGGAGCTCTGCAACACACCATTAAAATGGAGTTTGCAGCCCTGCATATGGCAGGCAGGCCCATAACTGTAAGACTAAGCGATATTTCCCTACAAAAATACAAATTATAATGGTGTACAGTTTTGATCTTCTAAAACATTTTTTCTCCCTCAAACAGTGGGAAACTATCCTTCTACAACTAATTACTCACTGAGCTTGAACCACTGAACTTTTGCCACTGGCAAACTATTTGTGAAAGACAGACTCACATTCTTTTTTGTTGATTCCAAACTAAAAAAAAATCCACAATCCCAAAAACTCCATGCCACAGACAGTTTATCCCAAGGCCAGGTTTGTCTTCAGGCTGAGATATGAAGAAAATGCAGGCCACTAGGAGCAAGGGGTATTTTAAAGAAAGGTGAGTGCCAGCAAGGGCCCAACTGTGTTGCCACCACTCTGGCAAAAAGCAGCTGCAATCCTCTGCTCCACACCTTCCTCTGCCAGTTCAGACTATCACAAAATCTTATTTTATTTTTTTATTTAATGCCCATTGGGCAGGTTTTAAAGTAGATAGTTCATATTAAAACCGAACTAGTTTGTTTTTAGCTCTAGCAAGTAAAACACACAAACCCCCAACATCAGACATCATCATCCTGGAAAAGCAAACACAGATTTAAAATGTAACAGGAGAGTAAAAAAAAAAACAAAACAAACCAACAAATAGCAACAAAAAACCCAACAACAAACCAAATAATAATTACTGCAGCCCATCAGCTGCAATTACATATTTCTGATATTAATAAACTACAACCACAGCAACTGTAACATACTATTTCCTTAAAATTCAGTGAAAGAACCAAGTTGTAGGAAACATTGACCTGGTAACAATAGGCTGAAAATTGCACTATGCTGAGGATCCCGTAATGGATAATACTATTGTCTCTATATTAAAACCCATTTTCAAGTCTACATGTTTCAAGCCTATAAAATTTTTATTTCATCTATGAAATGCTACCATCTTAATTGTGCTAAAATGGACTTTTTTTTTCCAGATAACTTGTACATAGTGCTAGGTGTTTACACATAACAACTTGAGTATTATTTAATTACTTTATAGAACCTGTACACAATTATAAACAATTTGTTGTGCAATATTTACTTTGATTTTTATTCTGTGAGGCTGTGAAATGCCCCAGTTTTGCTCATTAAAAATAAGATAAGAGATCAGTTAATAATGCTGAAAAATAGTATTTTTTCCTCAGTTGCCTTGGACTAAACAATTATCACACACAGCACAGTTCAGTTTCAAATGATAAAAAAAATCTTACAAGGATAGTCAGAAATTGCCATCCTTGCAGAATCTTCACATTCACAGGAATGTCAAGATTTATTTTATTTTATGAGAGTAAATTAGAAGCAAATAAATATATGTCTGCAAAAAGGCCAGTAATATTTAGTCAGACATTTGTAAAGCAGAATGGACAAGATATGGACACTGTGTTAATAGAAAAAAGTTTCATTTAGTTTATCATGGAAAGTATCTGTGATATGAGTCGATACTTTTTTAATCTACAGTATCATTATTATCCTGACATACTGAACAAAAAGTAAAATGAACCTTAAGGAGGTACAAAGAAATATGATTTAAATCCTTAGTTGTTGCAAACTGATTTAATTTAATAAACTGAGCAAAGCAACACCAGTTCACACCAGTAAAAATGAAGGCAAAAAATGAAGTTTAAAAATGCTAGATTGCACTGTGTAAACCTGACAGTCAGAATTCTACAATTAGAAAGTATGGAGATGGGAAAGAATTTAAAAAGATCAAAAACCCAAGGCAAACCAAATCCAGTTCTGGATCACACATGAGTATATAATGGGAAAAAGGTCGTTGACCCTAATTTTAATAGAAAAAATATTTTAGAAAGCTTGAATCTCATGCTCAGAGGTAGGTCTGCTAAAGATTTCTTCATTCTGCCAGTATGATAGTAGTATCAAGTTACCAATAGGTTCTTTAATGATTTTAAAAGCTTGCTTTTATGAGATTCTACTCCCTTGTATGTGACATATTATTGCAAAATAATGGTGGGATTCAAAAAACATCTGTGTTCATATTAGAAATAAACAGCACTTTAGAAAAATAAAAACATGCAGAGCAAAAAAGAAAAAAGACCTCTGCAAAACATTTTTTTTTTTTTTATAAATGAAATGAGAATTAGGTTTCCAGTTCCTGTGCTTTCTTGCTCCTAGGAAAACCCAGCCTGTGTTTATTTAAATAGCTATAATTGATGATTCCCTGGAAATATTAAGTCCTGCTTATATCACACTATTTCTGTTTCTGCTCAAAAGGTTCAGGGCTTCTATACCAGAAATGGAACACAACACTACCTTCAGGGATTTTAATAAATGTAGGGAACACTGCTAGCAAAAGAGTTGCTGTCCAAATAGACTGACATACCCAGGCCAATGCAGCCTCTAATGACAGAGTAAGATAATGTCAGGCCCCACTCAAAATCAGCAGGAAGAGGAAGATCAATCTTGGCAGAGTGAAGGAAAAATGCTGGCTTTCTTCATGTTAGCTCATCTCATACATATCTATCTTCAGCTGCTGCCCAGTACTGTGGTGCTCTGCATTAACTACACAGTGGATCAATAACAATTACACCTTCTCAAAAACATGACACATAGCAGGATTGGGTTGACATTTCACTTAGGCCAACATTGATCTCAGTGCATCTGATTCCAGTCCTAAATTCAAGTCAGGCCTGGGTCTAGCTGGAATAAACACACAGTTAAAAACAAAAAAGGAAACCAGCTGCTTGTGCCTTGGCTCAGAAGTAAACAGCACATCCATCTGTGCATCCCCCATCTCCAATCCACTATTCTTCCTGTTGCTACTAGTGATTCTAAAGTTGATCAAAGACTATTTTTTATATGAATTACTCACTGTGACATCAATGTTGATAATATCTCCATCCTGAAGAGGTCGACTGAAACATAAACAGAAAAAAAAAAATAATGGTGACAGACAGTTCCCAACAAAGGGAATATAAGAATAAACACCTAATGACACATACATAAAAAATCAAGGGGTAGATATTTTGTGATGGAGGAAGGCAGAAGCAAACAGAATAACCATTTTTAATGTTCAGCTCCAACTATTTAGAGAACAAGTGTAGCTGAATATAAAATAATGAGAAACAACTACCCGAAAAACATATCAACACCTGAAAAATCCACCATTATATTTATTCTTTTTCTCTCACTAGGGTTCATATTTTACTTTGTGAGTAGCTGAATGTATTGAGAATATAAAAAAAATCCCACATAAATTCAAATATATTTATTCCTTAGCCTATACTTATTTTGCTGGATGAACAAAAAATCAGACCATACTGGGTTTTTTTCCCCACACACACTAAAGTCAAAATGCAATCTGCTATTTTTCTTTAAGTGTCTGGACAAACAGGATAATATATTTTTTTCCTATTTCACATATATTTCTATAATAGCTGTCAGCATCATAGAGTAACATGTTCTGCATCTACAATGTGTTTAAGAATGACATTTAGTTAAGCTGAAGTATATTCAAAATTAAATACAATTTATTAATTTCAGTTTAACACTTTAATTTCCAGTTGCAAAATGTACATTATTGAGGAAATACCTGTCAGGAATACCGTGACATACCACGTTGTTTACGGAAGTACAAACAGATTTTGGAAAACCTCCATAGCCCAGAGGTGATGGATAGGCATTCTGTCTGATTATTTCATGATGAACAATGGAATCTATTTCTTCAGTTGTCATGCCAACCTAAAATATCAAACATAACATCCTGTTAAAAAAGCAAAGAGAGTTTCTTATATTTATTGAATATGATTGCAGCCAAGCTTCAATGAAATATTGGACGTTTCAAATATACTGTTTTGATACAAAACACTATACTGTCTGATATACTTTACTGATGTATGAACTTTTTTTTTTCTGAAAAAAAAATAATTTAAATAAAGCATGCATTAGAAATGAGCACTCAAAGGTTCCTAGAAAACCTAAAATCCTGCCTACTTCCTTTCTGTTCTTTTTTCCATATCTACTTTCTCAAAGACACCAATTTCCCATGGCATCGTTTCAGTAGCTGATACAGAAATACCTTGTTTTAATGCTTTCAGTCCCTTAAAACACAACATTATTTTCCCCTTTTATTTGTAAAAGAAAGGATATTAATTCTTATAATTTCCCAGTGCATTCACCACAATGTATTTAAGCATTTTAAGAAATCGCTTTCTAGGTATTCTTATTTTTTTTTAAAACAATGAAATATTTAGATTCAAATTTTAAGGATATTTTACTTTTTTAAAATCTTTTCCTCAAGATTTTACATATTAAAAAAACCCCTTTCATAAATCATTCAGCCATTTTCTGGATGTCCATGGAGTGCAAAGTGAACATGCATAAAACAACATTATTTTTGCTTTTCTTTTGGATCAACTCTGTAGCTGGAATGGTTAGAGCTGAAATTTGGTAGGGAAACCTCTCTAATTGAGGAGTATTTTTGAGGGTTCCTCTGTAAATTGATTTTGCTTTGAAAGAGTTCCGAGCCTTTGAAAATCATACTTTGTATGGAGTATCATTCTTAGCACACTGAAGGAAATATCACAGTGGCTGTGACTGTGAAGTAACATGTGAAACACAGGTAGGCTGTGGTGCAGGAGACAGTTATATATAGAAATATTGTGTGGCCATGCACAGTCAATACAGGAGAGTGCACTTGAGGATAAAACCAGGTCTGTTTACTCAGCTGAATTTTGTTCAGCACAGAAACGTTGCTGGGCAGGTGAGGAGCAATGACAGTGGGTTCAAGACCAGGATTTGGAATTACTGCACATGCTCCCGCTTTGCAGCAGCCATGGCAGCCTCAGTGCTGGGATGGCAGCCGCAGCCTTGGCAGGCTGTCTGGACTGGACACGGCAGATGTTGGTTCTGGATAAATACAGGCTTTTTTCCTCCTGCCTTTGCTGAAACATCTTCATCTCTAGCCCACAGACAAACTGAACTGCTATGTACCCGGCTGGCTGCTGCCTACTGCTGCTCTGCTCAAGCAATTTGATGTAGTTTTTGGATACTCAGCAGACAGACCCCTGGTCTCTGCATGGCTTACACCCTGTGAAAAGTTCTGCTTTTAACAGTATGTGCTTTACTTTTAAAGATACTTTTGCTAGCTGGGCAAGTTTGGGGTGGCACCTGCTGTGCCCCTAATCACTTATTCGGAACAGGGCAATTCAATGGTATATAATAAAATATTTTCATGTCAAAGAATCTGCGGTTTTATTCCCAAATCTGTTACTCAAACCCAGGAAAGCTATCATATATAATACTGTATTGTAATTTGAAATCCCACAGGCAGTAATGGCAACATCAAAACCATGTTCAAAATACATCTCTCTGAATCCATGGATCATAATGCACCTTTGTTATATTGGGGGATCTTACTGCCACTAGCTAAAACACAGGCAACAGCCAGTTTGGAGGACTGTGTGCAAGGTGGGTTCAGCAAGATAAGAGGAACAGGTGGAGGGATGGGACTCTTCAGGTAAAATAGGAATGTAAAGTTCAGATTATGAGAAAAGGGTAAAAGAGCTTGGTTTGTTTAGTCTGGTGCACAGCTCTATTCCTGCATGAAGGGAAAGACACAAGGAAAGGCAGGAAACTGCTTGAATTACAGAGCAGTGTTGGCATAAGAACAGATGGGTATAAACTGACCATGTGCAGCAACAGGCTGGAAAGCAGAAGACGCTCACTGTCAATGAGGGAGAGTTTTGGAGCATCCTCACACTCAGGGGAGTCTTGAACAAACACTTGTGTAAAACAGAGCTCGCCATCAGTCTGTGACTGTCTTGGGCTGTACTCTCAGCATTGCAACTCCAAATGCCACCTCTCTCCCAGTATACAGGTCCTGGTTATGTAACTATTAACTTATATAACTTTTTGCTTCAAAACATTCATTATGTATGTGTAGTATTTTGCTACTATGTATGATTTGGCACATAATATGAACTGCATCTTAAACTACACCTTATTGCATACATTTGTGTTTACACATGGTAACAACCAAAGAGTATTTTTGAAATACTGCTCTCATTCAAAACCCACATTGCACCCTGAACCTTTGGAATATGTATATGCCTTTAAATGAATAAGTTTTATTGTACTGAAAAATAATTGAACATTAAAAAGTTAAACATGCACAAAGCTATGTAAGATTAAAGCTTCAGGCAATTTTGTTATTTGCCATCCCAGCTCCAGAACTAAACCTTTGTGAAAGAGTGATGATAGCTGAAAGAAAAATCCCCTTTTAAGTCAATGGCATTGACCTACAGTCCCCATCTATCTCTGCATCTCATAGCTACTCAACCCATTTCACCTTATCCAATATGCTATTACATGAAATACCAAGGCAAGGCTAAAAAAGCATCTCTTCATCTGCAAAACCTGGTAGTAGGCTCCTCCCTCTACATTTTTTCATGGGAGGTATCCTAAAAAGCATACTGTAGGAACATTTCTGGAAATCATGAGGCTTTATTATCAATGCACTCTGGAAAATTGTGTAGAATTTGGCAGTTGTTTTTTCCAGCGGCAGCTCTGTGAGACATACTGGATCCCACAGGACAGTGAGGGCTGAAGGATGGACAGGAATGGAGGAGGCAGACCAAGTGTGGGCTGGTACACATGCAGAGCTGGGAAGAATAACATATGAGGTAGATGGGTCATGAAATGAAAGGAAAGAATGTAGCATGTGCCTTAGGATTTGACACAATCCAAAGTGAAGGAGATTACAAACACTGAGATATTACACCTGAGCCAGTTAGTAACTATGCACTACGTAGGTCCAAAGTACAGAAATAAATAAGCAGAACTGAATCAAAAGTTAATAAATCCTTACTTTTACAGGATCAAACTTAAAGTTGGATACACATTATAGGAAAGTTAAAACAACAAAAAAGTAGGAAAAAACCCCAAATAAGTGAAAGCATAAGAGACACTCAAGCTGTTATGGGACTTCTGTAATTGTTACCTTTAAGCCCTTTCCAGCCAGAAGCAGGACATGACGGGCCAACTGACAAGCTTGACGAAGCCCTTGAATCTGATCTTCATTCTTAATTTCTATGTCGTCTCCCCAGTCTGGTACAATGCCTGTCGTCACATAGTCTGGCTTCTTTATGTGCTTGGAGAAAAAGGATTGAAAATGAAGATCAGAAAACTGAGCATGACAATGGGATCATTTTCTCAGATACTGCCTCCTGCTTCATGGCAGCTTGCCCTTTCTGTCGTAGTATCGACCTTCCTAAGCCATCAGGGCAAACCCTCAAGGCTGCCTCAGTATTTCTTCCACTGCCCTTTTGAACTTAACATTGCCTGTTACTACTGACTTACACAGTCTGTTAGCCTTCCAGTGCTGAAACCCCAGATACTGCAGCTGACTTCCAGCACAGTTTCAAGTCAGGAAACTGGGAGAAAGACTTAAAAACTCTTCATTTTCTTTTGCAAAGAGGGACATTTTTTACAAAAGGCATCTAAACACTGGAAGTGATCGGACAAACATACAGAATTAGTCTCAAAATTAAACCTGATCAAATCCCATGTTTCTCATTCAAATAAAACTCTTATTGAGAAATCCATGAGATTGCTTTTTGACTAAGAACCTTAGGATTTAACTTACTTTAATATAGAGGTTTTTACACATTAATCTAGTTCATATGCTGTGTCCAAATTTGTCCACCTACAACATCACACAAAGACATCCCAATCTGCTGTGTCAAGGGAAGTGTAATAAGCCTCATTTTTTCCACACAAGAACTTCTAAGCCCTTGTTTGAGGTGAAATTTAATATCTGATTTTTTAAAATCCACAACAATTTAATGATGTTTATAAACATGAAAGCTAATAAGAATAGTAATGTCTTGCACATAGTTGGCAATGCACTTTCTCTCAGCAGGTCCTGGACTATTTCACTGGCTGCAGAAGAATCCCTTTGCCCATGACAGCCAAGCTGATTTTCTGCCATGCTGGCCACAGGGTGAGTTTTGCACTGACTTCACAAAATACTGAGTCAAGCTGGCTGCCGGAAAACAAAGTAGGCATTTTGGCTGTACACAAAACAACCATACGACAACAGGGTGTTGGAGTAACAAAGAGCGGGGCAATTGATGAACTCTACTGGGATTTTAGAAAGACTACCATTGCTGTTACAGGTATTTTATGTCTAATCTGATAAAAACTGAAAGTATATTTGGCAAACTATTGCCAACAGGATTTCAGATTCCCATTTCTTTAAAATTAATGCCATATCAACCTTAACAACGTCCCATTGCAGCAGTTTGGGCCTTAGTTAAAAAAACAACAGCAACAAAACAACACCATTGTTGGATTAGCAGCTCCATACACAGTATCGCCCCTGCCTTCCTCTTGGAGGGCACTTGCCTATTAACTGAGACATGATCCTACTGACCTCTAAGAACTGTGAAGGGAAAAGCCCAAAGCACCGTACATACAAACGTCTGTGTGGACAGTTTCACACCAACATCTTAAAAAACACTGTTATTTCAGTGTGATTTCTGGCATATTCTGAATAAAAGCAATAATTTTGCCCTCAAGTTTTCAGAGTTCATAGACATGAAGTGATTTTTAGATGTCTGAGAACTCTGATGTGGGAAGATAACTTTTCATTATGACAATATATTTCTTTCTCTTCATCTAAAAGAAGCATCTAAATACAGAAAATTAAGTTTTTTAATTCTATGATTTTTAAGCTTTTGAAAATATATAGAGCATGTAACCCTATGTTCTCCCTGCACAGAGAGCTTCCACAACCTCTAGGGTAGGAAGAGCCCAACTTCCACCATTCTTATCTGATTTCCTATCTAACAAGTTTTTAGTATATTTGGCCCATGAAAATGCCCTATATTTGGCATAAGAAATCTATATTAAAATGAAAAACAAAATTGTAAGAAGTACTAATGCACATCCTGTGAAGCACTGTTTAGAAAGGGTACTTTGGTTTCTTTTGGCTAAAGAAAAGATACTAAACAGTTAATCTCTATGCTGTAATTAAACAGGGGGAAAAAAAGAAAAGGAAAAAAGGGAAACCAGAAGTGGAGCACATGTTAAATTTGCATTTTCATCAAAAAGTCCCTTTTGGCTCTAAAGTAAATAAAAACAAAAATATATGTTGTAAGGAAAAAGAACACTCAGGCACAAAAAAGAGAAGTTTAAAACATACAGTGGAGCTGTGGGACAGCTACCAGCAGGTATTGTACATTTTCTTTCTGACATAACCAAATAATAAAACCATCAGCAAAATATAAGCATTTTTATAATTAGCTTGCTGGAGATTTATACAGAAGGGGACTCAGATGATCATGAATGATTCCTACTGACTTCTGGTAAGACTGTCTACAATTGCTCCAAACAAGAATCTGGACCCAGAATTTTCGACAGATAATTATAATACTCACATTTATTCTACTATAACTGAACAAGCCCCAGGTTTGAACTCCCTCATAACTAAATACATAACTGAGTTTAACATGGTAGACAGCTGAACATCAGCTCTCCTATTTCAAATACCAGACCAAGCAACAGGACAGTGATCCAACCCCCAGCTGTTGGATAACAAATACACTTGATCATGACTGCAGTCAAACTCTACACTGGCTGAAGAACAGATTAGGTAACAGAACTTGCAGTACCTTAGGAACTTGGTGAGCTGGAGAAACCATGGCTGGCCGAACTATACTATAAGCAGCATTTCTTTGTCCCTGAAAGAAGAAGCGTCTTTGCTGATGATTGCTTGAGTGCCTGTGGAGGTAGTTACGATTGCACACAGAAAAGATTATGTGGCAGCCAGTCACAGAACCTGTTAAGAGATAAATTAAAAGTTACTAAATTTTTTTTTCTACTCCCACATTACAAAATGGAGAGTATGCAAAAAGAAGGGCATCATGTAAAACAAACCACAGAACTCTTGTAGTTGCTGAGGGTAATTCAAATCTTGTACTTTTTAAGAGCAGAAAGAATGAAAAGAAATGAGAACAAAAAACCTTCCCAAGTAATACTTTGAAGCTTTATAAAATACCAAATCCGTTTTGGTTTGATGCATTAAAAAGCAGTGTGGGTAAATTTCCCCATTTACAGACAGGAGTGATACCCTAACTGGCCTCTGCTTGGAGCAATTTGCACAGCTGCACTGTTGAAGGCTTGGCAAAGCAGTTAATAAGGCACAATAGCAAGAAAATAGAAGACAAAAAAAAGAAGATTTAATGTTATTTCATACAATATTTTCAGCTGTATTTCTGCAGAATTGGTCACATATTTGAGCATAACAAAGGTAATGTTGATCTTTGTCTTGTTGCTCAAGACACAAAGAGCAGTTCCTTTTGTTCAGGGGGCAACAGAAGAAGCTTCAGGAGTTATTTTTAATCTTGGCCAGAAGTAATTGAAGGGATTAAAATTTGCAATTTATTTGGAGTATTTGAATCATATTTCAATTTAATTAGCATGGGAATTTGGGGCAAAAGTTTCATAGCTCAAACTTAGTAGTTGGGCAATGACACTTCTGCCCCCACAAAAAAGGAAAAAAAGAAAAAAGGAAAAAACAGAAAAGAAAGGGCAGTTGAGACCCAAAGGCTCTCAGAGACATCAAAACCAAAATAATGCACTACAAAAGACAATGCTAGCATCAAAACCAGAAAATTCAAAAGGATTATTGACAATGCCCAATTACATTACAATTACAGAGTGTGTATTTCCACTACTCAAATGTTCTACAATATAAACATAGGTTCTTTTGTGAAACATAAGTTTAACGTAATAGTTGATCTGCTTCTCAAAAATGTCATTATGTATACAAATACAAGAGCAATCTTGTGGCAAGTAATCCTGACGAATAATTATTCTTCAGTAAAATGGTTTTGTTTAAACAGAAGTAACTAAACATTTTTGTATCACAGAAATTAAGAAATTAGTCTACTGCATATTTTGTAACTAAGTAAAAATATTTATTTCCAGAATAATTTCTTTCTTATTTTGCATGCTTTTATTCTATTGTACCTTTCTTCCTTTCCTTTGTATTCATTTATCATGTTCAGATGCAGAAATTATCCTTCCACATGTGCAATCTTTCTAAGACAGCCCTTTTACAGTATTCCATGACATACAGAAGATTTGAGTTATGCACTGTTTTGGAGCCCCAAGCCCAGACTGAATGAAATAGTTGCATCAGGTTTGCGTTAGAAATGTTCCCAACTGTCTCTTTGCACTGATCAGAATTACATTTATATTCTAATATCTGAAAAGTTAAAATCTAGGTGTAGAAACTTTTAGTCAAGCAAATTTTTACTGGTGGTTTTTATTGTTGTTGTTGTCATTGTTGGGTTTTTTTGCTCTTTTGTTTTGTTTGGGTTTTTTGCTTGGTTAATTTTTTTTTGTTTTGGTTGTTGTTGTTGTTTGCTTGCTTTACTTGTAGATAAATAACAAAGTGGAGCTGAGGTTCATGTCCAGCTCTCAGTATAACCCAAGTACCCAATGCAAGCTACCTGCTTCAAAACAGAAGCAAGTGCCTCCAGGGAAGTGGGGCTGCCCAGTTAAGAGCTTGCTGGATTGATTTGGTAGCCTATTAAGTAGAATTTAAACAGCAGACTCATAATCTACTTTCCTAGAGTCTCCTCCACAAGAAAAAAAATCATTGTCTAATTAACAAAAATCACCCAAACATACAAAAAAAGGAGAAAGGGTCACCTAAATTGCAACTGTAAGCACATCTGAAGAACCCAAAGCATCCTACAAACTCCCTGTCTGGTTTGTACTCATTTCTGGAATTTGGAAGCACAGAATCTGCTGAGGCAGCAACTTTTGGGCCATCAGAAGTAGCAATCACTCTGACAGTGTAAGCCAAGTTGCCTCTTCTACAAAGCGCTGTTGAAGTACCTTGCTCTTAGCACAGCTAAAGGTACTACAGATATATCAAAATCCCACACTCACTGCTGTGGTTAGCTAAAGTCCACATGGACATCAGTATGTGAACATGCATTTTAAACGCTCTCCTTGATGCCCAGAATGCTCCCTGGGCACCTTGTCTACTGTGCCACAATTTAACTGGGGAAGAATGGTAAAAGTGTGCTTGTAAATTATTCCCAATGTGCTCCCCCAAATACACACTCTTAAATACATTAAACCATATCCATGGGTGTACATCTATCGACTAGCTCACATTAAGAAGGGATGTTTTATTCAGAAGAAAATTTTTACCTCTATTCTCCCAAAGATACACTGCAAGTGTTGTCACAAAATAACGGGATAATAAGGTACCGTAGCCTGTTGTTATTCTACTAACTACTCATTATAAACCAGATGCATACAAAAATACCTACTACTTGAACAGATGAAGTGAGACAAGCAAATAAGTATCACCATTGTAAAATACAATTCCTAAATTATATCACAAGAATTATAAACACAAGACAACTAAACCTTTATTTGAAATATAAAAACTTATAAGAGAAAACATTCTCCTACAAAGTAAAAATAAAATTAAATAAAATGGCATTAAAATACAATGAAGTTACTGGTCTGCAATGAAAATCTGGATTCCATCCACACACTTCCTTCCTTAAGAAGGCCTTCTAATGCCTCCACAGCTCCTTTTATTTTTCAAGCTCCCATATTCCCAGCTAATTCGATATAGCAACATCATCAATCACCTGAGACAGGAACAACTGTCTGTATTCTCCAAGTCTGGCTCAGAGGTTCCCTCCTCCCCACCCCTTATACCCATCAAAGCTTTTCTCAGTGCCTTTACTTCTGAAACACTGGTGCTCAAGCACATCCTTTTGTTAAGCCTTCTGTGTATACTAATTACTGTAAGATAATTCACAAACATGGCATTTATACATCTTCCAGCAGCAACTGGAGCCACCGGAGAGCATGGTGTGTGAAGCTGGGTAGGCTGGTAACAGCCCAGCACAGCCAGGGATACGAAGTTGACCCTTTACATGTTTATTCTGTATCCCAACAGCAAGGCTACCTCACCTGCCACGTGCAACAGAATATTTACTATCAGCTGCACTAAGGAGAATTATCAGCAGTGTTACTGAATCACATCAGCAGCTCGGATGCATCGAGCACAGAAAATTACTGACAACTGCTCCGCTGAGCCGCCAGTGAATCCCACTGTGCAATCCTTGTGCGCGCATGTCCTGCCGGAGCCGCTGGATTCCTCAGCACACCTTCCAGACCTTCATCTGGATTAATAATAGAAATATGCACTGTGAGCCCTTCTGAATTACCAGATGAATTTATGTTGTGTGGAAATTACATTTCTTTTCCATTTAAATGAGTCAGTCAGAGGGGCTGAATATGGCATTCAAGAATTATGAAGGGTGGAAGCATTTTTAAGTGACTGATTTTGCAGCACAGAGTGCCCTATATTTATTAGCCTTTTACTCTAGGGCTATTTTAATTGTTATCTGTTCATGCATGTTACACTATATAATGAAATGCTCCCATTTCACTCCTAGAGTGGGGAGTTTTTTATGTGTATCTCTATTAATGACCCTTAATTAAGTTGATTTTAGTAATTTAAATGTGATTTTCCTCTGGTCAAGAAGTATTTTTAACGGGAGATGTTGGAAATGAACTCTCACATAAGCCCTTTTCTAATGCTTCTTGTTTAACAGTTACAGCAATTTATCAAGCTATGTTTCCAATGAATGAAGTGTGGGGTAGCTGGGCAAAAAACTGCTCATTTACATGATTCATCAAATGTGATTGTTAGCAACCATTTTTTTGGTATTTATTCATGAAAATTTCAATTTTCCAAGCAATTAACAAAAATATTACCAATTGATAAACTTCATGACAGTTCTGAGCTACAATAAAGGGTGCATCTTAAAAGAGACAAGAAATAAATTAACATATTTAAAAATAATTTAGTCATAGTATCAACAGAAGCAGAGTACCAAAATTATTTAGGATTACAAGAATTAACACCCCAAACTATTTAGGAAATAAAATCAACTCGCTCTTGATAAAGTTAATAACATCAAAAGCATTGTTCTGACAACTCTTTTCAAAATATGTGATTTAATCTTTATTTTTAAACTGAAAAAAGAATGACTGTAGAGATTTTCTTAATATATACTCATTTGGACATAAATCTAGATATTTGGACATAAACTAGAGATCTTTCATTTGGCTTGTCAGGTAATTTTAATACTCTACCATAATTTAGGTTCTTGTACAAATACTCATTTTGCTGAAACTTCTGAGGATTAAAGTTAAAATGAGGTATTAAAAATCACTAAGGGTAACAATATATGGAATCCAGCCAATGCAACCAGGTAAGAATACATAGGTTCTTACTGCTAATTACCAAATGTTCCCATTTTTCAGTCCAAAATAATGGCTGTGATTTGAAAGACCTTTACTTGTAATTTTAACTATGTCTTATAAAACACTGACTTTGTAACCCCTCCTGTTGCAAAGGTATGTCCAAGCTTCTAAAATAGGATGGGAAAGATTAAAGGTCCTTTCCAGCTCTGTGTAACCTGTGTAGCAGAAGAGCAGCTCACATTTCAGATGCAATAACCTGCACATTTGCTAAAAAAAAAGGAGAAGAAAATAAAAGGAAAAAAGTCCAAGAACAACATAGGGAAATGCCTGAGGCAGAAGTTGAAACTGATTGGGCAAAGTAGAAGGACAAGAGCCCTTGAAATTAAACAAAAGCAAATTCATTCTGTTGACAGATGTTGATTACATCAAAGCCAAGAAAGAACTTTTTTTTGTTTCACTTTTTTTTTCTTTTTTTGCAACAAATGCCTCCACATTTTCTGTACATTACATATATAATGTATCTTAATCAACATAATCCAACACATGATAATTCTCAAATTTGGTAAAAGTATATTGTAAGAGGGTCTTAACGACAGGCTTCTCCAAACAAGAGTGTATTCACATGGTCATGTCTGCATACCCGTGCTGGTCACGCCATCATCAGCCCCTTACTTCCAGGGGTTAACTGCTCTGGCAGCCAAATAAAATACAGAGAGCGCTGTGTAATTATGGAGACAGTCAAAGGGCAGACTCTATTTTGAAATCTATTTGCACAGACAAGGTCTTCCAATTTCGCTTACAGGAAACAAGCTGGTAAAGGGGGTCTCCTCCTCTCCAGATGCTTTCCACACGTTTTTCCCACATCAGGAAATCATGGACATGGACACCATGCAGCACTGTTTCCTGGATTGCAGAACTATGTCATTATAAGGAGAAGAGCAAGTCCGTGTTTGTGAGAAATATTTCCTCCTAATTGGATGTATTAAGGGAAAGCAAAACCCATAAGGACTACTGAAAATGTGACTAGCAGCAATTTGTAAACAGGACGCAGCCACAGCTGTCACGATGGTACTGGAAAAGAGAAAGCAGAAATGAAAGGGTAAAAACACTCTGTTTTTAATAGCATGATTGGGGAAATGAAATATTCATCAGGATAGATGAGACTTCAGTTACAACAGCAACACATTGGTGAAAACTTCAACAACAGCACGCTTATGACTCTATCCTGATAAACCGAAACACAGGCCAGTATCTTGCAAACATTATATTCTAATTTGAATGGTTTTATTTGATTTTTCTGGAAATTAACAACAGAATTTGTTTAGTTAATAGATGCATTAACAGAACTGTTCTTGTTACTCTTCTAAGAGGCAATGAAGCAAAGCAGTGGTTGAACGGCGACCGACTCCAAGGGAGAAGAATCATCCCCTCTGCCAGCATCACCGTGACTCCTCTATGTCACTGAAAAAAGTCACTTTTGGCCCTCAGTTATGCTCCTTGCTAATTACAATTCTGCCCTTACTTCATGCAGAGTGGAGCTGGGCAATTTGTTGGCTATATGCCAATACAAATGAGTTCCTAAATTTATAAACTATATGGAAACAGATTCTTATTTGGCTTTACTGACTATGATTTAGTCTAGGCTAACAGATTAAAATGATGAATCAGTGCCTCCTGGAATAGTGCTGTGCTTCTAATTCATTATTCAGTCCAACTTAGGGCCAACAAAATAGCTGTTCTGCAAGTTGGTAAACTGGGAAACCACAGAGAATCAGAACCCCTTCTATTTACAGGAAGGATGACAGCCTAAGGGTACTTCATCCCAATAATAACAACATTCAAGTACCGGTGCCCAGGTCATGACAAGCCATGACCCTCCCCATAGCTCCTTCAGGAAGCTGGCTCGATGCCACCTTTTATCAGCAGCAACTGACAGTGCAGCTTTAACAAGAAGAAAAAATTAGTACTATATCCTTAAAATCTCCTTTGACCAGTTGAGCAGTTCTGTATAAATACACACACACACACAGAGTCACACTAAAACAGTGTAAGAAATAAATTAACTGACTGAGTAAAATTCTGGTATCATTAAACAGTACTTCCCCCTTTTATTATGGGATTTAAAAAATAAAGAGTACAATCTAACTATAGATGAGTGATATTCATTAAAATACCAAAGGAAATTAATTGTCTATTACAGAACTCGGGATCCAGCTGTACAGATATTGGGAACACGGCACTGCAGTCTTCAAACAGAGCCTTCCAGCCCAGTGTTATTTCTATTACATTTTCTCTCTCTGACAGAAAAACACAAGAAAAAAATAAAAAGACAGTGTTGTCTAAAGCAATATCACTGCAAAATGAGGTAAGTCCAGTACAAAAGCTGGACAAAGCAATATTAAGGGTTTCAATCACAGTTACTATCGAGGGAATTTAGGCTCCAGATCACAGCATCTGGCAAGTTTCAACTTCTCTGACTAGCAGGAGAAACATTCCTCTTATGTTACTGCATTCCTTTATTGAGTAAATTAATTTATCATAAAATGAATAAATTAGAATGAGAAACATATCTGTTCAGGCTTCCATATTTAAATAAATTTTCCAAGCACTTTCTATCTATCTTTAGATTTTTTTTAAAGATCAGAGACTTTACTTTTGCTTGAAAGATTCATTATTGTATTGATTTTGATTTTGTAAGGAATTAACAACTATTGGAACAAGTTAGTTTAAAAAATAGCAGTTGTTTCAGATTAAAATAATAAGCTATTCAAATAGTCCTTACACACAGCACAATACCAAATCTTGTTGTTTATATGCACCCACCCACAGCTCTAACATTCATTGAATCCTACTGGGTTAAAATCTTTTCAGGTGCTCTGTTAAAAAAACTGTTTTTCAACTGGCATGTTTATGTCCTATATACATGCCTGGCACAATATTAAATGTTATAAAGAAATCCTACTTTAACCTCTTAAATTTCCATCTGAAATGGAAAAAATATGTCTGGATCACCATAAAATCCATTTCCCACCCTTTCAGTAGACAAGCAACATTGCTGAAATAAGAGTAATCTTTGCATAGGAAATTTAGGAATGCTCTGAACATTGTAGCAGGATATTTTGTATAGCTTGACACATGGGAAGAGAATAGGCAGTCAGTCTTTTTCCTGCAGTATTTTCCATATACCTGCAACCAAATCTCTAAGGACACAAGATGATTTCTGAATCATAGGTCAGTCTAATCTCAAAATTAAGGAAAAAAGTGCACATGGCCAGCAACATTGGGATGCATACCTTAATAAAATAAGATTACATTACTATGAATTCAGTAAAACTGACAGCTAGGAGTATTTTTTGCCTTGTGTTAAAAGTTGGTAATTATTTATATTGTCCTGTTTTCACATGAAAACACAAGTTATGTTAGGACAGTAAGTCCTTACTGAGAAAACACATATTCATCCTTTACCAGAGTGACGAGTCTAAGGCTGGGGAATTACAGCCTATAATCTAGATTTCAATATATATGAGCAGAGAGGTCTAAGAGCTTACAGCTTTTTCTGCTAAACCGATGTGGTGGTGGTAGAAATAAGCTTTTATTTTTATTTCAAGAAAGTGCTCTGCACAAGAAGATGTTCTAATCAAGAGCTTGCTGCAGATAACTTGTAGCATCCTGATTAAAACATTTATTTTTAAACCTGTCAGTCATTACTATGTGCTATTAATGCGTAACTTGGAAGCTTCTTCATAAATATGTGACATTTGGGTCACTGAGTGAATTATAATGATAGAATTATGGATCAAATTTGGAAGAGTACAATATAATGTTTGGGAGATGTTTTAAATGTTTTTTAAACACCTTTCACTTATCTCCTTGCTTAACATTTACAAAGACCTCCTTTTAGCATAAAAATCCCTGTTTATCAAACAGTGATACAGGAAGAAGTTGTTTACATTTTCAGAAGTACCAACATACATCACTTATGACAAAAAAACCAAGCACTCCATAAGAAATGCTCAATCACTGTCAATCATACACACTAAAATATACATAAACCAAAGCATGTGGTACGAACTGTATTAGATTCAAACTGAACACAGAATTACAACTATAACAAACAAAACCCAAATAATTGCTAGTGACTCACAGGCCTATTTACACATCTCACCAAACTATTGGAAAGGTAGGTAACCATAGAAACCTGTCAGCCTAAATTCAGCACTTCAAAATTTGTATTTAGTTTAAAACGCTGACAATTCTGTTTCTATTTGACAAAATCTGTATTTTTAAAGGCTTCAGTTTTTGCTTTGGTACTTAAATAAATGCTTCAAATTATTTCACCTGTTGGTTACTAATAATTAGCCTTTTATATTTGATTTTACCCAAGTAAAAATTTCAGTTTATTCTTAGTAATATAAAATGTTAATATATTTTAATATCGCAAATTAATTTCTAACATTTCTTTAATGACTGAAATTAAATAACAATATGAAACACTTCTGCACTTACCATTAAATGTTTTGGATGCAGACTTTAAGCTGCACACTAGCAGAAAAAAAAATTACTCAAATTAACTGTTAAAGCTGAAATGCTAATAGCCTTTTCAACTTATAGATCTTTTTCACTGACAATTGCAATTTGCATGGCTTAAAATTTAATACTATCATTAGTACTAATGTCCTATATTTTACTTCATAATCTAAATGAGTAAAATATTATTTTTGTAGTTCGCTGGCTCTTATACTTAGGCTGTAATGTTCAGTGTGTATTTCATTATGTAGATGAGCAATGGAAGTTGTCTAACATGATTTAAATGGGTCAACAGTATTTTCCTATTCACATTAATCATCCAGACAGACACGCACAAAAAAAAATAGCCTTGAAAACTAACCTAGTCTTTTTATCACTGACTCTTCCCACCACCCCAACAACATCAAACACATGCTCCAGGAGACGGGAGCCTCAGGAACTGGGAAGCCAAGGCTGGGCGCTGCTCCCCTCGCCAGCGCACAGCTCCCGCTGCTGCCGGCCCCGCTCCCTGGGCTGTCCACGGCCCCGTGCCAAGAATCATTCTCGTCCTGCGAAGTTCAATGGGAGCTGTGTGTTGACAAACTGAGCAAATCTGAATCAGCAAAATTCATTCTTGGCACGGGGACACACAACTGTGCTGAAAGCAAAGGCGCGCTGCCCGCTCCGCTGCGCTGGCAGCCGGCTTCTTCTGGCGTAAACACACTTGTCAGAGCTCCCACTAAAGTCAAAGGACACAGGATGAGGCCATTTATTGCCAATTGTTTATAAAACACATCAAAATTAAGGGTTCTATTCTCAAGCCACGTAACTACCATCTACGACCCACTTCATATATGGCATAAGGCAAATAAAATGGCAATTTATAAATAACATAGCCCTTCTGTAGAAAGGGAACCTGTTCTAATAAATGCTAAAGGGAAATAAAATAAGTGTAAAACAGGCAGAAAGTAACAGAATGTTTGTGTACCAAACATTCAGACTCATTTATTCAAAAGATGTATTATTAAGCTAAAAAAGAGAAAAAAAGAATACCTAATTTCTGAACTACCTTCACCAGGTTATTCACTCTGTATGGTTTATTGAACTGTTCTACTGTCTGATTTTCTAAGCTCAACAGATTAAGCAAGGGAGTCTTTGCAAGAATTTAGGTCTCAAACTCCTTTTTCTAGACTGAAAAGGGGTTTACACAGTCTTTTCTTCACAGATAGTAAATCTGTAAGAGGAAATAAATGTTTTGCTTTTCACAAGATGAAGATAATCTAACTTGCCAGAAAAATATGACAGGCACTTCTCCTGAGAATGTTTAGCTACTTTGTCTGCAAAACTGGGCAGTAACCTATGAAATTCTCTATAAGGACATCCATTTAATCAATTACTAATTTGTAAACTCAACTTAGAACTTCTAGATTCAGTCGATTACATGCTAAGAATCCTGCTGCACATTTTTTTCACACAGAAAATGTTAAGTCTATCTCAATCTACATGCATAGCCTATTGAAAAGTGATGTGACTGTGAATTTGAACCTAACAGACCTGGCCACAACTTCATAGATGTCAAGGCTCCTGATCTGCGTTCAATAGGCAAAGAGCTACAGTAAAGTTGATTCTGACATGGCTGTTCCCTTGGCAATGGCACAGTCATTGGAAGCCCTATGCCCATGTCTCAGCCGTGCTTGCTCATCCTTCAGTGATTGGTAGTCCACTGTCACGGCTTGTCATACTGGAGGAGACATGAGAGAACTGCTGCTTTTCTCCAGACATCCAAGTTTATCTTCATCTGGTTGAACTTTCAGCTGCTAACACCCCACCAATCTGTTTTGCAACACCCATCTGGTTTCCACAGCTAGGGATACTGTTGCAGCAAGCTCTGCCAAAGTCTTTCCATCAGCTACCTCATTCTATACCTGATTTTGTCAAGCAGCTTTTACAGAAGAGTTATTTGGACAAAACAGCCTCCAAATGAACAAAAACAAGATTGTCTTCATCAAGGATATTTTAGAAACAGGCACTTCTGCAGTCTTTGGCTTGCTCTGCAATTACATTCTTGCCAGAAAACATGTATTAGTTAAGGAGAGTATTCTACAACTCAAAACTCTTAGAAAACATCATGGTACTACTCAGAAAGCTGCTGGGACAGTTATACCAGCAAAATAATTCTTGCTGGTACAACTTGATCTTTTTGATCTTTTTGATTTCCCAGAAGAGAACTGTTCTCATGAGATGAGCTTCTGCTGATTTAGTAGGGTGTGTTAGAGCATGAATAAATCTTCACAAACCCAGACAAGACCCACTACAGTATTTACTTCTTTAAAGAACACCCATTTCTACCGTGACTCAGGAATTATGTTTTAAATAATCAGTGCAGAACAACCAGAAATGGCTCAGAGAGTTCAGACCTGCCTAACCACTTCACAGGTGTTAGTTCAAAAAGAACATGGCAATGAGATTAAGCCTTGTCATTCACATACTATTTCATCCATGAGGCACGAGCGTGACTCGATGCTCAG